ACCCGGGTCACTCCAAACGCTCGTTTTGAGGTGTTTAACCTCATTGGAGTGTAATGTTCCATATGATTAGTGAATGTATCCCTAATTGCATATATATGGACATTATTTCATTTTACATAGGGACATCGCGAGTAATCAAACCCCGAACCAACGTCTAGCATTCAAAACCGACACGTTTCCGAGTCCGGTGAGTTCATACCCCTACCCTTTTTCACTGTTTTTCACTGTTTTCAGGGGGGAACACAAGCAAAGTACAAGGGAATTCTTGTACTCAAAACATGTTTTCAAATGTGTGTTTCATATTCTTATGCTTTTATAACTGATTACTACAACTGATAACAGATTGAACATACAGATCACGTAACATATATTTGTGAAATAGGTCTTTAAACTAGTATGTTTTACATATATTTCACAAATGGCTTTTCCACATTTTATCAGTTAAAAGCATGACATTAAAACATTTGAACATAATAAATGTATACTGTTTTGTCCTCGGTAACACTCCACACACATACACGAGTGGAGGACTATCATATTATTACTAGTAAATTTGTTATTCCTGTATGATTGGAGACACGTCCTCGGAGAACACTCCACCCAGATTACGCGAGTGGAGGACTACACCCATAACCAGAATCTCTGGTATTTAGAGAGCGTGACTTGAGTGTATAGATCTATACGGGGCTGACTACCCTACACCTGGCTGCTAGCTACAGCCGAACCGAAATGGTTCAAGGGTGACGAAAGTCATAAGTATGTGGACGACTTATTGCCACATGTGGACTACTTATTGCCACAGGTTTCAGTCTATTGTATGGTTATGGAACTCGCAATTAGGATAACAGAGATTTACTTACAGTAATAATGAATTACTTTATACATCGTTTACATCTTTTACATCTTTCACTTACTGTAACTAACATTCAGGAAGGTACGGGACTTTCCTAGGGAAAACATAGAACCTAATCACGATTACATCTTTTACATCTTTAACATCGTTTACATTAGAAACCTATATACAGGAAAGCATGGGGCTTTCCTGGGTAACACATACATAACTAGAAAGAGTAACAAACTGGATAACATTACATCTCTTACAATTTGTAACATACAATAAGGAAAGTATGGGACTTTCCTGGTAACACATGATAAGTAAACAGAACAGTTTAACCAGTCAGATAACCAACTATACATTTTCACATGAATAAACATGTTTTCAGTGTACAAACTTACTATACTTTACAATTGGGAAACAATAACCAACTATTAAGAAAATATGGGATTTTCTTGGTGCATATAACATTTCAGAAACAGAAAGGAAACTCGAAACATTTTCACAAACAAAAACCGCTTATGAACTCACCAGCTTTATGCTGATTTTCAAACCGCTTGTGTTCTCAGGTCAGCGTTAGAACAGGTACCCGAAGATTCCTTTTTGATCAGAAGACGGAGTACATGAATACCCGTTTCATTTTGCCTATATATACTATGTATCAAAATTGTACAAACATTACTTTTGAAACAACTGTAAAACTTTTATTATGTAATGTATTGGTTGTTTTACTTTACTTACTATGTGCATTGGATTTGATACTCAACGTGGTAGTCAACCTCGGGAATGTATTCCGCCTTCGGTTTTCGGGGTGTGACAAAGGGTCACATCACAGAGTTCACATTGTGAACCCACTATTCATGTCGTGAACCCTGACACACGGTTGGGGTTCGTGTCGACGTTTTCGACGTTCTTTATATCCACGCGTAGGTCAGATTATGCTCTACAACTTTCATTTAGACTCTGTCAGCTAATTTTAAATTTATTTTATTATATTATTTTTAGTAGGCCGAGACAGGAAAACTCGGTTAGTAATTCATAACTTCTTTATCTGACGTCCGTTTTTGTTTGTCTTTTTACCGTTGGATTACTATCGACGAGTTCTTCGATTCTCGTTTAGATTTATTCTGCTAGAAATCAATTGATCTCATATTAGAACTTTGGGCTGCATATCGCTAAGACGAAACTTCGAAAAATCACATCTTCCTCATACGAAGTCAGATTTAGACGTTCTTTTTATGCAAGCTCTCAATTTAACGTATTCTACGACTTTCGTTTTGATCACTAAGGCTAAATATCGCTCTATTGTAAATTCACTATTTACGTCACGCAGTGTCGTACCGGTTCTATCACGAAACTTTGACAATTCATACCTTCTTCGTTATAACTCGGATTTTGGCATTCTTTATATATTCGGAATCCTAGTCATGACCAATAAATCTTCATGTATTGATATCGGTTTTATCTAACATTTTATTTTTATTCTTAATTCATTTAAGCCACAAAATTAAGGAATAAACACATAATACTCAAATAATACATTTCTGTTACTTCAGAATGAGTTACAAAGATTAGCCTAAACTATTACATCAATGTTAATGCATAGCCTAGAAACACGGGCGTTACAGATTACTTGCAGGGTAATGCCACCAGGCCCTTGTGCACACTTTATTAGTTAGTCCTTTAAACAAAGAGTAGATCAGAAGGGTACGCTTGGGCACAAGTAAGCAAAGAAATGCACAAATGATATTGAGGGAAATTTCAGGTAACTATAAGTCATAAATTGTTGTTTGGTAAACATTTATACTTCAACTTATGTTTATATTGTTAATGTGTAGAAAAAATGTTGTTGGGATGAGACAATAGATTCACTGGTGAGGCAAGCTTGGGCAAGGAAAGCGGCACAAAGCTATGGTCAATATCTCTTCAACATGAGTAGCCCAAAAGGAAACAAACATGGCTTTAAACCAGTTCATATTCCACAGGAAGTGTGGAACTCCTGACAATTAAAATGGAGTACGGAAGAATACAAGCTAAAATTTGAGCATAACAAGAAAAATAGGCGTAACGGTGTGGTTGATGGAGTAGTAAAATCCATACATAATGCTGGACCCGCATGTCATTTGAAGATAGCTTCTGATTTGGTAATTTTTTAGATGGTACATCGCATTAATGTTTGCATATGTTTATCTGTATATTTGACTTTTATATGGTATTTATGCAGAAGAGGAAATTAGGACATGAGTCACCCCATAGTGAATTGTTCATGTATACACACACTAAGAATCATGATGGAGTCACTTTCACAAATGAAAAAGATAGACAAATTCATGTAATATTCATTTAAGTTTAAATTAACATTAATATTGTAGTTACTCTATAATATAATTCCTAAATTTGATATCTTTTAACTTATACTATTTTTATTTTGTAGGCGGCCTATACAGAAAAACGGGAAGAATTCAAAGCTAAAGGTGTTGAATTTGAGGACGACAAACAATTTTATGCTGTTATTAGTGGAAATGATTAAAAAAGAAGACTTTATGGATTATGCTCTTTTGCAAAGGTGGTTCCCAATAGGAATGGTAAAACGTATGCATCTTATATTCCGAAAAAAAAATGATGAAATAGAAGAAATGAGGGTGCTTGTTGCTAAACAAAAACACCAAAACGAAGAGCTTAAAGAAATGATAAACGTCCAACAAGAGGAAAACAAAGCAAGGGTCGGACATTTTGAAAAACAACTTCAAACGACATTGGATCTTATTAATGTTGTTACAACACATCAAGAGTAGTAGGTTGATATATGTTTATCGAAAATTATGTATTTTAGAGCAGCAACTTTCATTTTTCTATGTAATGTTTATATTGTTAATGTATAGAAAAAATGTTGTTGGGATGAGACAATAGATTCACTGGTGAGGCAAGCTTGGGCAAGGAAAGCGACACAAAGCTATGGTCAATATCTCTTCAACATGAGTAGCCCAAAAGGAAACAAACATGGCTTTAAACCAGTTCATATTCTACAGGAAGTGTGGAACTCCTGACAATTAAAATGGAATACTGAAGAATACAAGCTAAAATTTGAGCATAATAAGAAAAATAGGCGTAACGGTGTGGTTGATGGAGTAGTAAAACCCATACATAATGCTGGACCCGCATGTCATTTGAAGATAGCTTCGGATTTGGTAATTTTCTAAATGGTACATCGTATTAATGTTTGCATATGTTTATCTGTATATTTGACTTTTATATGGTATTTATGCAGAAGAGGAAATTAGGACATGAGTCACCCCATAATGAATTGTTCATGTATACACACACTAAGAATCATGATGGAGTCACTTTCACAAATGAAAAAGATAGACAAATTCATGTAATATTCATTTCAGTTTAAATTAACTTTTATATTGTAGTTACTCTATAATATAATTCCTAAATCTGATATCTTTTAACTTATAATATTTTTATTTTGTAGGCGGCCTATACAGAAAAACGGGAAGAATTGGAAGTTAAAGGTATTGAATTTGAGGACGACAAACAATTTTATGTTGTTATTGGTGGAAATGATTAAAAAAAGAAGACTTTATGGATTAGACTCTTTTGCAAAGGCGGTTCCCAATAGGAATGGTAAAACGTATGTATACGAAAAAAAATGATGAAATATAAGAAATGAGGGTGCTTGTTGCTAAACAAAAACACCAAAACGAAGAGCTTAAAAAAATGATAAACATCCAACAAGAGGAAAACAAAGCAAGGGTCGGACATTTTGAAAAACAACTTCAAACGACATTGGATCTTATTAATTTTGTTACAACACAACAAGAGTAGTAGGTTGACATATGTTTATCGAAAATTATGTATTTTAGAGCAGCAACTTTGTTTTTTCCATGTAATAAATAATTATTTTGTTATTTTATGATATAATGGTTATAAATTATTGTTTTTTTTTCATATATTAATACAAAGTTATTTGGATATAATTTATAAATAGTTTATCAATCGGTCCATATTAAATCTGGTATATAAAATATACACTACTAAAATTGCTAGGAATTCATAACCACAAAATTTGCTATGAGATCATCAACCGGATATAGCTAGGGATTCATCACCACAGATTTAGCTAAGTATTCATCACCACGGATTTAACTAGGAATTCATGACTACGTATTGTGCTAGGGATTCTTCACCATAAATTTTGCTAGGGATTAACTACAACATAATTTGTGACGGAAGAACTACCATGTAATTTGTGATGGAAACATACTAAGGAATACACGACGGAATGTCATCTACCACGGATTTCATTCCTTTGTCACAATTGCGATGGAATTATCGTTTCCATTGCAAACCCCTCGCTACGACATTTTTAGGGCCGGAAATAGGTCGTTGCAAATTCCGTCGCGATTCGTCTTTTGCAACAGAATTTCAGCTTTTCGCAACGGATTCCTTCTGTAGCAAAATCACATTTTTCTTGTAGTGATAAAATAATGTGTCATTTTGCCTACCTTGAGAGGACAAAGGAGGCACGCGGTCCAATTTGTCCTCATCTTTATCATTATTGAGTTGGGTGTGTGTATGTGTGTGTGTGTGATGTGTTATAATTTTCAGCAGAGCTTAGAGAGATAGAAGAGGAAATAAGAAGAGGATGAATCAAAAAGCATTCGGAGCTGGGGAAATATCCAAGGAGGGAGCGAGGGACCAAAACCGCAAACTAACGTGCTTAAAAAGACTACCAATCCAAAGTTTAGGTGTTTGGATAGTCTTTCCTTAAAATATACATACCATACGAACCAATTTTGTAGTTTTGTCTTGATAAAATCTCATACATGTTGTCAAAATATACTCACATTAATGTTAACCGTTACAAATTTAGCGTTACACACATAAACACAAACACCCACATATATATATATATATATATATATATATATATATATATATATATATATATATATATATATAATATATATATATACACGCGTTCTGTGTGTTGTCTGTGTGTATCCTTAATTCATAACGGTTATCATTAATATAAATATAATTTGACTATATATATATATATATATATATATATATATATATATATATATATATATATATATATATATATATATATATATATATATATATAATTTCTCTAATGGGATTTCAATTTTCAGATATTCATTGGTGTGAAAAAGTTGTGAGTACCATCTTACATATGGAGAAAGGAATCGCATTAACATGTATTATATTAGTTGCAATGCTAATCAATGCAGGTTTGTAAAATCTATTGACTTCTGTATTTATATGATATATGATTTCATTATTTATGCCAAGTGAATTCCTTAGCAATCCATAGTTGCATATCTAATGATAAATTGTGATGGAGATTTGCATCCCAACTAATCATGTAAAAATAAGATATAAATGTTGTCATGATTTCTTACTTTGGTTTGATTCTTTTAGCTAACTATTAGTAATTTTTTATTTTTGTACGCTCAGTTTCATATTTACAACTTAAGAATGTAATCTGTGAATGATTGATATGTTATCATTATATATTTTTAAATAAGCATAAAAAATGTCATTTTATATTTTAAATTTTAACTAAAAATTAATTTTTGGTGATGGTTGGTGTTTTTAATGAATGTCATGGTGTGTTTTTCTCAGTTTTTTTGTATGTTTCACTATCTTTATTGATATATAGATTCTAATTCAACATTCTTATATACAGAAAAAGAAAAAGAAAAATTATAATATAGAATGCCAAAAAGTAACGAATTACTTCTATATCATTAGATACGTTTATAAAGGGGCTTGTTTGTTCAGTTAAATATTATTTATATTACATGTAGAATTCTAATTGAAAAAATAAAGAAATTACTAATCTTCATTGTGGTTATACCAAGGATTAGCTAGAATATATATATATATATATATATATATATATATATATATATATATATATATATATATATATATATATATATATATATATATATATTACAGGTATCAATAACAAAAATTAAAAAGAAAAAGATGATATAACTAAAAATATGTTTTAATAGTTTTGGTACTTGTTGGATATTATGAATGTAAATTGTGCTGAAGTCATATTTATTGTTGGAAGGTGAGATTCTAAAATTTAAATATTCTCAAATACTTAAGACTTAGCACCAGTAAAAGAAAACCTTTATTTTATTAAAAGTTATATATATATATAAAATGTGAGACGGTTTAATTTTATGATTTTTCTTTTTATTTTTAATTTTAAAATTATTTTTAGATTGCGTCTCACGGTTTTATAAAATTAAATTGTCTCAAGTGAACCTGAATATATATATATATATATATATATATATATATATATATATATTAAAAATTGAAACACAAAAATTTTAAGCCCTATATAACTATCCACTTTCCAAAGAGTTTCTAAACTAACGGTATTCGGTGGTGCCATTTTTTTTTGAGTTCTAAGGTTCAAGTGTTGAACATAAGTAGAATTATGTGTTAATATAGATGGGGATTAAATATTTATATTTGCCATTTTAAAAAAATATAATTATCTACTTTGTTCTCGGTCAACGCACTCATGATTGTTGCATGTATTTTTTTTTTTCTTGTTAAACGTTTGATTTTTTTGAGGGTATCAATCAACCATGATGCATGATTGAATCAAGTAGAAGACTTGTTGACATACAATATAAATTACATCCAACAATTATTAGACTTACAATTGATTTTGACTTTAATGCTGGTCAAGTCCAATGCATTACTCATGTTTCCAAAACCATTTGCTATTTATACGTACATTTTCTTGTTTTAATAACATTATTATTATTTTTTTAATTGTAGGAATCGGAGGACAAATCGATCTCGCTCCTATCATCACTCAGTTAAAGCCACAACGGAATTGCAACGTCGACCGTTGTAACTATATAACTTTTCCTCCCATATGCCCATATCCAAATTGTATAAGCCCTTATGATTGTTCAGAATATTGTGGTACCTTTATCTCGCGTTGTGTTCTTGATCACAGCAATCCTAAAGATGTTAGAAAGAGATGTTGTTGTGTGTGGTAGATTTTAATTAAAATATAAGAAAATAAAAACAACATATAACTATAAAAATTTACTATTATTAGAAATGTGAAATAAGTGCATTTTATGATTGTTTTTTATGTGTTTTATTACATATTTATTTTGTATGATATCTCTCTTTTTTTCATAACCAAGTTACATAAGTATTTTCTAATACATAAAAAATATTTATTGTGAAAATCTAATCATAATAGTGAGAGTAGTTATAACTAACAAAACAATTGATAACTTATAAGTATACCGAAGGAAATAAGGACAAATCTAGCAAGTTGCAAGCAAAAGATTACATACTACAAGCCTTAAAAGGAGACATACACCAAAATTTAGTATTTCTCAAAATCTACAAGTCTTTTATGCAAAGAATTATAAGGAAAAATCATGCTTCCATTGTCACCACCCAAAGCAAACAATTATAAGGAAAAATCATGCTTCCATTGTAACCTCCCAAAATATGGAGTAAATTTTTAAAGGACAAATCTTCAAATATGATCCATATGGTTTCCAAAAAAACGAGTTCAATCCATAACTTTTTAGGTTATCAATGTTGGTCTTTATGGTTTAAAAACTTTTAATTGTTAGTTATTTTGGTTTAACTCCATTAGTTTTGTTTTTCTATTAAATCCTAGTATTCGAGGGTAAAAACACTTTTTCCATACCATTCATGAAGTTTATAGATTTTATTAATAATAAAAAATAGAAAAATAACCCACTACCCTACCCCCACGCTCTACCACCTCCTCATCTTCACTCTACTCGACAACCACCACAACTCGCCGCCAACTCGAGACATCTCATCTTAGAATCCTTTGAGCTAATCCTTCAACAACTATAGTCTTTCCAACACCCGGTTCATTAATAAGAAAATGACTGCTATCTGTTCTTTTTGATAAAATCCTAATCACTCTCATAATTTCCTCATCTCGTCTAATTACAGGGCCAAGCTTCCAAGCTTGTTGTACAAGATCATGACCATACATCTTAAGAGCTTGGAAATTAGTATCCCATGAAGCACTATCCATCTCATTCCATTCTTTAACCAAACCTTTACTACCCCACTTTTCCACCCTCTATGCACCAACTTCGACTTCTTTTAAAAGTTCTGAAATTTGGGAATCTTCAAGAATGCCCAAAATCAATTGAAACCCAATTAAATAGGTGTCACCATACGATCTTTTTGATGATTTGGCACAACAAAATGTCTTGATTAGAGAAGTACTTGTTGGAACTTCACTTGGAGGAGGAGATTGGGAAGGTGTTAAGTCATGTTTTGTTGTGTTATGTCGAATAGGTAAATCTCGATGTTGAATAGTCTGTAAATAACGAGTGTTTACATGTCGTCATTATGTAATATATTTATTAAGCACTTAAGTAGTTTGTAGTTTAATGGTGAGTCCTAGTATTTATGGGTTCGATGAGTACCCTATAAATATGGTATCTACCATAGAGAGTCGTAACCTTCTTAGCACACTTGTACTCAAACCTTCTCTATACTCATTCCAAAATATATTGAGCTGAAACCAAATCTTATTTAGATCTTTGTGGTCTTTACTCCGATTTACATTAAAACATAAATCAAAACATATTTTTAATTGGTATAAGGGAAGGAATCTACACATCGATAGAAGAATTTGGTTTTTCACATTTTTCATCTTATTGAATCGATCTTTCACATTCAATAATTCCGCAAGATAGAAATGTAATTCTTTGTTTCATCGATTGTGATTAATCGATTCTGCGTTTGTTTTGTCAGTCAATTTAGCATCCGATTCATTTCTTTTCAAAGAAATTCCTCTCTTCACTGAATCTGATGGCAAAATCTCAATGCCAACACTATGATGAATTTCGCGAAGATGATGATCCCTAAGTACTACGTTAAATGGGTTGATCACATGGAAGACTATCTTAACAATATCAGTGAGGATATTTGGAGATCTATTGAAACTAGACCATATCATGTTGAATTGGTTCAAGTTGTTGGTAACGTTGGAGGTGATGAAGATATGGTCACAAAAGGCAACAAGAAGAAGGCGAATGACAAAAGATGTATCTGTGAACTGCAAGGACCTCTTTCATCTGTTGTTTACAACTATGTTCGGGGTTACAAGATGGCAAAGTAGATTTGTGATACTTTGAAGGAAAAGTACGCAGGAAATGAAAGAACTAAAAAGAGCTTTGTGATGAAATGCTTTTTAGAAATGGTCGATTTTAAGCAAAAGGAGAGTGAGACTATCAAAGCATATTACGATAGGTTGAATGAACTTATCTTAAATTGAAATAGATATGGTGTTGTTCGTACTAACTTGGAATTTAATCTTACCTTTATTTTCTGACTAAAAAAGGTATGGATAAATATTTTTATCATGATCAAGACTTAGGAGAATTTTGTTACATACTCTTTATTGAATCTCTATAATATTCTAAAAGCACATGATTCGAAAGTAATAGGACAGCTGAAGAGAACAAAAGGAACTTTGGAGGCCCAATGACACTAGTTTTGAAGATAACTGTGAAAGAGATTGAGTCTGATGAAGAAGCGAAAGAAGCGAAAGAAGCTAAATAAGGTTTTCTTCTTAAATCTGATGACAAAGCTATTACCTATGATTCTAACAATAAGGCGAAGAAGTTCTATAAGAAGCTAATTAATGTAAATTTCATGAATAGTTTAGAGAAGAAGCCAGTGATGAACTCTGGTGTAGGACAAAAGGGTGTTGAGAAAGTGGAGAAGAAAGAAGGAGATAACAAGATTGAGAAAAAGTTGAAAGGTTATTTCAGTTACAATTGTAACTACTATAACAGATACAATCATCTTGTAAAAGACTGTATGTTGAGAAAGAAGGAGGATAATAAAGAGAGAGTGAAGGATGAGGCTTACCACTCGAGGAAGTTAGAAGAACTTCTCATTATGTGCAAGAATCTTTCATTGATGTCGAGTGGTGCTCATGATAATGAAGGGACATATCAAATTATGTCCTCTAACTACGATGACGAGGAGGTGTGTCATCAAACACATGGAGTCATGTTCACAAAATATGAAGATGGTCAATATGTGTCACACCCCCAAACCGACATGGCGGAAACATTCAGGGATGGAGTGATGGGTTTAATACAAACAATCCTATGTGTGCATGCAACCCTAGAGTTGGATCTATGTTTTCACTATAAGTTATACAACTTTATGAACACAAAAAGAAACCTGGCATACTAGTACTATTTTCGAAATCCACATAGAAGAATAGAATACATACCTTTTGTTGTTATATAGTAATAACAACTAGTTCCTTGAATCTCCTTAGCTTTGAAAGCAGGTACCACAAGTGTAGTACCTCTAATGGATCACAAACACACTAGGTGAAATGATGAATATGAGAGAGAGAGGAGAGAAGGGTATCTTGCCCTAGAATTCATCCCTTTTAGGGTTTCCCAAAGCTTGGACGAAATCTTAGTGCCTTAGGGGTGCTATTTATACTTAAGGTTAACTAGGGTTTCAAGGTGTAAACCTTAATCCCTTAGCTTAGGGCCTAAGAAAGTCCATGGACTCCTTTCCTTAAGCCATTGGATGAAAACTCCTAGATCCTTCTAGGATTTTCTTTCAATCCTTAATAAAGGTGGTCCAATGGCCCAAAGCGTCAACTATTGAATAATAACAAAATAGCCCCTGCATTTTCAGTCAGTTGCTTTAATCCCAAAATTAATTCTAAATTAATTTCTGATTAAATAGTAATTAATAATATGATTCCAAATTAATATATTATTCATATAATATATTAACAAATCATATTTATACCCTAATTTATTATTCTTAACAATAAACCAACCTCTTTCCTCAACAATCATCCTGTCTAATCAACAGTGTGAAGGCAACCCAAAAGGACCATGCACAATCGGGTCATGTACATACCAAAATAGTTATGGACTTAGACACTAATCTAACAGTCTCCCACTTGGATAAGTCTAATAACTATTATTCGTATGACTTCAGATCCTGATTAGCAATCGTAGCTTTCAAAAATAGTTGTCAACTATGATCTTATCAGAAGCGTGTCCTTTAGAAAAAGGATTACATATTCCTCCATTCTTGATATCGCCTAGACGTGAGACATTGATTAAAATCATTCTCTCAGTCTATATGTTGTTTCCTGATTTCTGATTTATGACGACTGACAATAGACTGCAATTGAACACATCAAATAAGTCCCGGCTTGGCCAAGCGCTTAGGGTGTCATCACTAAATCATCGAGGGGCCCACATATATCACTTTTATCCCACTTTGGGAAAAAGGAACTGATAAACTTCGACTCAATGCTCGCTTGTACTCACTCATCGAATCACACACAACAATAAGTTTTATAACACCAAGTTACTGGTGAGTTTACTTATCATCAATGTGCAAACGACCAACAAATAACAACTCACACGTCTCGGTTTCAAGAATATACAATATTAGAAACTCACAATCACTCGTGATAAAATCCATGAAGTGATTCTTGTGAGCATGGGTTTAATCCAATGCTCAAAAAGATATTCATGAGCACTCATGAATGTTGCAACAAACCTTTTCTATGTCTAATATGCTTTAGACAATCTACAAACCAATTCATGACAGTCTTCATACATAACTACTTCCAATATATGAACGACTGTGGACCATTCGAATACTTTGATTATTCCGAAATAATTAATTATTCAGGAAGTCAAAACATGCAAAGTGAAACACAAGAATAATACTAATCCTATATGGTCCAAACCTTGAGTATAAATAAAACACCTTTTATTCATCACCATATTGATTACTCATTATTTGTTGTTTATGTTAATCAACTTATTACTTGAATTATTACTACAATTGTCCCATGCTCTTAGCATGCACACAATGTTTACCTATGGTCCTTACATTGTGAAATAGATCAAATGAACACATTTCCAATCATACTCATTTCATAACTCCCAATCCTTATCACAAGTGTAAGAATATCAAATTCTTGACACTTATAGAATATGTTATATTCTAACGTTTCATGCAATGATCCTTTCGTAAAGTCATTACACTAAAGTCACAATGACTATTGCCAATGAAATTACAAAGTCCTCTATTGGAGATTGTTACAAGACAATTCCATAGACATGATGTGTCTCACTCAAAGTACATTCCTTTGAACATCCTTTTGCATAAAATTTTCTAATGTAGACATAGATTCTCAATATCCAACTCCCGATATGGAAACATTTCCATATTTTCCATATGACAACTCATTCTTAATAGAATCTTATATATTCATAATAATGTCGATATGGTCCATCCAATGCCATACTTCCAACTACTCACAACCGACCAATCTTCAGCGAACTTTGGATCGTCCTTTGATAGTTGTTTAATTATCTTAGTCAAAATCGATTCTTGTCCTTTTTCCATCTTAATGCGCTAGACATTTGTAAAATTTTAGAATCGTCAAATATTATGGAACTTTCAATCGATCCTATACCCGAAGCGTATAGGACATGATGCATAATGTCTTACATAAAGATACGATACTCTATCAATCTTCTGCCATAATATCTTATGTGTCATGTTCTTACAATTCGAACTATGAAGAGGGATGTCGTACTCATAATCGAAATTTAAGAACACACTATGTATCATTTGACTAAATTTATTAAAAGTTCTCAATCTAAGCTTTATATTTTGAAACGAAGTACCATATTCTCTCCCTTAATTATAGCAAAACAACTTTTCAACCCTTATGACTTTGCAAAGTATAACTCTTGTTTTATATAACTAATATTGCTAACTTGCAATACTTACCTTAATAATCATACAAGCATAACATTTATGCTCCCACTATCATGATGATTATTATCATATAAGCATAACACTTATGCTCCCACTATCTTTGACATGTATTCAGAAAACAGCCGAACTTCCAGAAAACAATACCTATTGAATTTCTTAAGTTCATATTTCTAATACCCAATTTCCAAATCTCACAATTCGAACTATGGAAAGGGATGTCATAACCATAATCGATACAATTTTCACAATTTCTATCTTCTTAAAATCTCTCTTAGTCAAAGCATTTCTTCACAGTCATTTTCATCAAGGAGGGAATCTTATGACACTGATATTTTATGGTGTATGTGTTCCTATACATGTGAATTTTCCGAAAACAAAGTTTGCGACAAATCCAAACTAATATGGACTGAACTTTCTTAATCTTGATTTCTTGCCTTATGGTAACACAAGTGCCAACCATGTCTTCCAAGTAGTTTAGGATTTTACCCTTACATATCAATGTACTTTCCATCGATCAAGGTGCTTTCTCTTTATGCATTCAAATGAGAACTCATAGAACTCACATGCATAATTAACTCAATTGGAATGGCGCAGAAACAAAATAATGTCAACACAATAGGTTATAAACCTCAAGTTGTGTTCTAGTGATGATTAATTAGGTTTATTCTTGATTTGTTCTCGAAACTTTTCAAGACCATAATTAAGACTCCCATTGTCTCATTGACATATAAGGTTCTCATGTCAAGAAAGTTTTTCTTGATAAACAAATATTCAAGAGTTAGTGTAGCTTTTATCAAGACAAAACACTTCACAAATTTTGGTCCTAGTTGGTCTTTGTCTTATCCAAGACATCACAACTTAGCAATTTCAGATGTGCAAGAGTATGAAAAACTTTTTCCAAATTCCATTTCATATTTAAAAAGGACCAAAGATGCAAAAAAATTCTATTTTGAGCCAAAAGTGTAAAAGTTGCAAAAAATGAGGATTCAACCGAGAAAACTTCATTTTGAGGGACTAAAAATGTTTTCAAATAAATATGAGCTGAAAAATACCATTTTCAACAAGTTTTGATATTAAAATGTCAAGAAAAATGGTCTAGGGACTAAATTGGAAATTCTTTTATTCAAAGGGTTAAAAGGGTAAACTCATAAAAGAAAGGGCCTGCAAACAGAAAAAGTCCAAAGTTTAAACAATAGATCCGTTGAGATAATATACTGGTACCGCGACAACCGACAAAACCTAATACACCATTAACACCAAAAAAAATCGTTACTAAATAAATTGATTCGGTCTCGAATCAATAACGAATCTGAAACTACTAACACGACGATATTCAATACACACGCGGACATTTCGAGAGTTCAATACATACATGGGAATACACAGACGTCGATACACCATCTTTGGGCCCAAAAGTGTCAGATCTTGCTTGTTGGGCCTAGCTAGCCCAATGACCTGATCTTTAGGCCCGAAGACAACTTACTTACATTGTCACACCCCCAAACCAAGGATGGCGGAAACGTCTGGGGTGGAGGACTTCATGTACAGTATCACAACAACGTGTATAATAGTGCTCAAAGTAAAAACAACCACCATAAATATAATTGCAAAAGTTACACCAAAGTTTATGTTTACATGTTTCAAAAGCAATTACATTATGATGACAAAATAAATTGTTGACGGTTTAGCGTCCCATCCTCAAAGCGATGAAGTTTTCCTGTTTCACTGATTTCCTGAGAATACAAGTAGTTTTAAAGAGTGTCAACACAAAG